CTGTTACCACAGGTCTTACCACAGGCTTCCCTTAAAACAAGTCCTCCCAGCAAAAATTGTATTAGTTTTCGGGACACAAAGATTCTAAACCCAGACCCAAAACACAAACATTAAAAGAGCAAAGCCCAGACTACAATGAGCACCTCTCACTGAGACAACCATCAAATAACACACACACAATAGTGAAGGGGAACACAGGGTTCAGTTTATGAGACATCTCCTGGCTCCCCAGGGGTTAATGAAAAGCTGCTCAGAATCAACTCAGTGTACATGACTGTCTCCAGCACTCTTGGCTCATCGAGTTTTTATGACAAGCATTTACTGGAAGGAGCTACGGCCGTGTTCAGCAGCTGAACCCTTTGACAGGTCATGGGATGCATTCCGCTTTGGGGGTATTAGTTATTCATATCTTATCTACAGAAGCAGTTTCTTCTGGGGTTTTTGCATTCAATCAACATGACAGCATGATCAGTGGCCCCCTTAAGGGTGTAAGTCTATGGGCTGAAATCGGACGATCCTATTGGTTAAAAATGGTTTTGGAATTCTGGGAGTTTAGAAATCTCCCTCAAGGGAAGCAAGAGCAAGGATGACAACAACACAACGGTAGAGAACACAGGATAGCGGATCACTCAGAAAGGTAACACCCTGCTTTATGCCTACATATCAAAGGGATTATCTTCATCATTTTAGATCTGAATGAGAGGCCATCCATTGTGAAGAAAGGGTGTTGCTTTCCCCTGAAACTTCCCTGCATACGAGCACTCTTACAAGTACCAAAACATGACAGATTCAAATGTAAGCTATTCATTTAGCTAGTGTAAACCAAAACACCCAACAGAATATTTAGAAGCTAATAGCAAAAAAGCAGTGACGAGATTGGTTTCACTGCATGGACAGTGTATGGACTATGGAACAAAATCTTCTTTTTAGTTCACTCTGGCTTCTGTCCCTCTCGCATGAGTAAGTAAACATCCTGAGTCTGTTTCACTCATTATATTGCAGCATGTCAAACAACACTTTGAAGGGTCACGAGAAGCCATGACCTCAGCAGATTGCGGCTGCAAAAAATCAATTTCTCCAAGAAAATGTCAGTACGAAAATGCACTAAATATCCGCTGTTGACAAAAATGATACAGACATCTGGAAATTCTAACAAGAAGGAAAAAGAGCCATAAACCAATGATTTGTGTGAAAATGCATTATTTATTTTAAAAGAGAGTCTTAGAGTGCATCTATATTTATTGATAATTTAATTCAGTAAAAATATGAGACAAGTAAGTTGCTGTGACATTTGTGTTATAATAATAATAATAATAATAATAATAATAATAATAATAATAATACAGAACGTTCACCACACATCAGCTTCAGCAGCTGGTTCTTTGTGATGGGCCTGTCAGGGAGCAGCGGAGGGAGCCACTGTGGCTGAACAGTGGCATGAGCCACGTGCTGGAGCATGTGGGAAAACTGGCCCTGGTGTGTGCATGTGTGTGTGCCCGGCGATGGACTGCTATCCTGTCCAGGCTGTACCCTGCCTTGCGCCTGTTGCTTGCTGGGATACGCTCCAGCTCCCCCGTGACCCTGAATTGGAAGGAGCAGTGAGAAAATGCATGGATGCCTAATTTCAGTTGAGCCACTGAACCCCAAGTAGGCAAAAAGTTTTACTGTTAGAGGGAACTTTGCTCCACATGTCTCTGCTGTTTGTCCCTGGCTGCGCCTCATCTCTAGTGTTGCTAATAAGGCCCATTCATCAGCTTGCCTCAGATAACGGACAAATACAGATTGCCATTTAAATACCCCAAGTAAACATGTAGAACTTCTAGCAGGAGACAAACGTGATGAGACTTAAGAGTATAAAGAATAAAGAGTACTGATAAAAACTTACATGTATTGACTCTTAATACTGATTGATGAGGGTTGCAGAATTCATACTGAATTACATATTTAATAAATGCTTAAAGGGGTGAGGTGAATTGGAGCCCAACTAAACAGGTCCAGAGGGATGTTAACACACACAGGGGGACTCCAGAGACATGACATCACACAACCTATACAACATACCTGCGGGCTGCAGACTGGAGAGCACCTGCAGCTATCCCACACTGCCATGGGCAAGGCATGCAAACTCCACACAAAAAGACCCCTGGGGTCTGAACCCAGGACCACAGGTGTGTGAGATGGTACCGTTACCCACAATGCCTCCTTACACTTAAATGTCCTAAAGGAAGCAAAGGCTCACAGTGAGATCAAAGAGGTAGCGAATATCAGAAATCAAAGTACCTGGAAATGTTGGTCAAATAGAACAAATATTCTATCATTCATCAGTCGATCATCAAAATTACTGCTCATGAATCTGATGGCCAGACGGGAGAAGAAAGAGGCAATCAATCCATGGCCTTAATTCCCCAAAGAACATAAATAAACCCATAGAGCCTGACCAGCAAACATCACACTGGCTGCGAACACCAGAGGAAAATAAATCTCAGTGGCCACTGGCTCCACCTTTATAACCTCAGTGGACACAGACATTTCTTACTCACAACGTGTGACAGTTAATGTTTCTCTGATGTACAGAGAGGGTGGTCACAAAAGACGCCCACACAAAACATCACAGCAGTCTGAACGTGGTCACAAAAGCATCTTTCTGTAGGGTTGGGTGACGTGGAATTTAGCGTCTATCGCACAATACAGTGAAATGAAGCTGCTTTTAACCACTGTTTATTGGGCGAGCACCTCTCTGAAGAAACAGTCATGTGAATCAAGTTCAGTCAAAATATCCACAGCCTTCCTCTGTCTGTTCTCACTCTCCCGGAAGTTTACAGACAGCATTTTGTGTTGGGGGGGGGGGCAGTTTGTTAGAGAAGTAATTAAATAAGAGCAGCAGAGAACACCACAGAAACTACACAATGGGCTCATGAAATACTTCAGGCATAATGTAACTTCCCAAAACTTTAAATAGGATGGGGGTGTCTTGTAGTTTAATTTTGTTTTTCATGAAAATATGTAGCCACTGCCACTAAAATAAAATGATCTCATGCTCTCAAATATTTTTCAAAACAAAAAAAGCTGACATGTAATCCTATTGCTTAGCTTTCATTTATTTTTAGGATAATTGTTCTTTTTTGATTTTTTTCAAATACCAATTTTACGCTAGGTCAATTTTTGAATTTCCAATTGTTCTTCAGCTTGGATCAGCACTATACTGTACAAGCACATTTGCACTGACCCTGAAGAGCAATGCCAGGATATTCACTTCTTCTTGCAAAGCAAACCCCAGAGCTTACAATGTATCTAAAACAATGGATACAGATCCCGCTGATAACACTACAGGCCCATAGGAATTTCAGAAGCTGTTGACCTGTTAACCAAGGAATTCCTGGCTTACTTTGAATTCATCCAAATCTGATGACACAGCCAGTGAACTCTTAACCCCTTGGAATCAAGATTGTGTCCAATAGTGCAGGACCTGCAGGGTGATAATCACAGCATGCGGTTATCCACACAATCAACCACACCTCTACACCCACAGGGTGTACCATTCAGTCCCTGTCCTCCTTCGCTGTACTGCTGGCTGGGAGACACCTACATGATGTTTTCATCTCTTTTGACACTTGAAGCAGTTGAGGGGATTGCCGATTTATTCTAAAAAGAAAAGAAAAGGACAATTGAACTCACCAAAATCACAAAGCAAGGAAGAGATGAGGCCTGGAGCCTTGAGGTGTTTAAGCTATGTCTATTGTGACAGTCCCATGCTTTTTCTGTGCCTGAGAACAGACATCTGCTAGCTTTGGTTAGTGGCTGTGAAATGTTCTAGCTACAAGGGAGCCACTGTGCTCTTCTCCCTGCTCAGTGAGTGTAGGCACTATGAAAATATAGACGCCAAACACGGGAGACTTGCTGTGCAGCACTAGAGAGGTAGTGCCACATACTGCACCCGACAGCAAATATTTCACAACAGCCAGACTGAGACGATTAAATACACAGTATTTGCAAATTTAGCTTAGGCAACAACTACCTAATAACTGTCTGAGAGCTGCAATGCAGGAACTGAGCTGTCATAATACCCCAGACCCGTTGACAGCAGATGGATTACTCTGTACTAGTTCAGACTATGTTGTTGGCAACACAATGCCATCTATTGGTCCAGTTGTAAGAAAATAAAGAATGGTTTGCATTTCCACATAAAATCTGAACAAACGTGTGGCTGCGTCAAATTTTCAGATTGCTTCCTGTAACAGTTTTACTGTTCCTTTTCCTGAGAGCTCATGTGTTTAATGGCTAAACTGATTTGTATTTATAATCAACAATTGTATTTCTGGGATCACTACCTGTCAATTGATCGTTTTTCACTGAAGACATTCATACCAACAAGGAGAGCAGTGCACAATCAGTGCTGGCTGCCATTTTCCCCACTGTGAGTCCCTTAATGCCCACAGTGGAGATAACATGCACTGGAGGAGTGAGGCAGCTCGTGCTGAAAACATTCCTGAATCAAAGGTGTCTGTCACGACAATGAGGCACAGCTTTAATTTAGTCAGTTAAATTAACACAGCCAGCTCTGGCAATATATGGTCAAATGTTCATTATCAATTGGTGATTCTTGACCACAGTTGGTTAATGGCCAGACTCAGATCTGAGCTGTGTGACACATAGAGGCCAAACTATATATTGAATTACAGCAGCACCTTTGCTGGGCGAAGATCTTTGATGGTAACATCTGAAATCAAAAGAAGTTACTAATATACTGTAAGCAGCCCAAAGTCTGATCTTCGAGATACAGATCTGGAAAATGGTAAGGATTTGGGAATCTCATAAATAATCAAGAGGCATCTGTGACAAATTAAATAAATCATTGTCTAAATTAAGTTATAATTTACTAAATTAACTTAAGACAGGACTGTAGCACACAATAGTTGGGTTCCACAGTTCCAAGTTGGGTAAGTGGTCAATGGAAGACAGCACAAACTCATGTTATAGTAAGTGTTCCTGTTTCTTGGTAGGTCGACGGAGATGATGTCATCACAAAAGATGAGCAGATCTACCTGCTAATTGAAGCCAAAGCCAAGTGCAAGAGGAACATAGAGGCAGACCTGGAAAAAGACAAAGGTAACAGCACCACAATTTCTTAAAACCGACACTGGTGCATACTGAATGGATTAATCCATCCATGCATTTTATGACTTCATCTTCCAATCTAGGATTGTGGGGTAGCAGAAGCCTATCCTGGCAAGCAATGGGCACAAGGCAGGGTACGCCCTAAACGAGACACCAGTCCATTGTAGGGCACACATAGACATACCTGCATTCACACCCACCAGGGCCAATTTACCCAGACATCCATTAACCCAGTATATCTCTTCTTTGGACTGTGGGAGCAAACTGGAGCACCTGGGGGAAACCCACATGAACACGGGACAACATACAAATTCCACCCAGAGAGCACTTAATGTCCAGAACTGAAGCCAGGAGCCCAGCTCTGCGCTAACCACTGCGCCCAGAAGCTGTTGATACGCCACCATATATTTTCTAAAAGTACAAAACCCATTACAGGTTAAAACAATCAGCAACATGATAACAGATAACGTTCATAAAAGTAGAAATAGAGAAGCAATCGATCTAAAGAGAAGAGTGAAGTGTTTATGCTGCCTCACTTCAGCCTTGTCACAAAACAGATGGTGATTGTGCTCCACTGAAACTGGTATCAATATTTTAATAACATTTCTTATATAACAAATTATAAAAAAACAACTGCTGATTCCAAACTTTTTTTTCTGAAAAAGAAAGCTACGATGAAAAACATAAAGTGAAAACCTGTAGTAAAATTGAAAAACCAGACTAAGATCCAAAGGATAATGTAAAGGAGTCAATGTTATAGTTATTGTTGAAATGTAAAAGTGGAATAATGGTGCTAATGGTCTTTACTTTCAGAGCAAAATATGCAGAAATCGCTTGCCTTGAAACCTAAGGGAGAATTGTTTTCTAACCATGGGTTAAATATTTAAGAGTGACACAAGAAATTAAAGTTTTTGAAAAGGGAGGAGGCATTTTCTCCTTTTACTGGTAAATAATCCATCATAAAGCTAAAGATGAATACAGAGGAAATTGCATTTTTCAGATCAGATGTAAAGATGGTATTAATTAGCTTCAGGAACCTGGATGACAATTACTGAGGCAATAGGAGCATTCTAATTTCCTGGCAAAAGATATTACCATGGTAACGTGAAACTTCTCATTGTACAGGCAAAAAGACGAGAGCCTATTTAGGATTTGGATAAAAAGGCTAGCTTTTATCATTTTTTCATTAAATATAATTACAGTTTTAAGAGATCAATTAGCGAAAGACAGCCCCTGGAAGTGTTTTTTGAACAGTGTTGCTTTTGATTTCATTGTATTTTTGATGAAGAATGAATGAAGTTTTTGCTCGATTTATCATGTAGGCCCCACACAGTCCAATCTATGAATACTTCGATTGAATTGAAGGGTTTGAAAGACCCTAGCAAGGAAAGAGCACAATGCTGCATATTGGATTTTTACTTACAAAATACTTAACAAAATGTTAGATTGTCTTTTTTTAAAAAAACAAACACATTTCAGACAAGGGACAGATTTCCTATTTATAACGGGGGAAAAAAAATTATTGAAAATGTAACAACTTTGCAACAGATGTTTGATAAAAAAGGAAGAATGTGATTTAAGACCTAATCATTTTTTATTGTCAGGCAGTATCTGTCTTTTGTATCTGTATCTATCTCTTCACCCATATTGGTTCCTCTGTCAACTGATAATTACCCAAAACACAGACCTCCTCTTCAAAAGCCACAACTGAAATGGCTGTAGCTTCAGACATTCCAGGAAGACGTTATCTGCATTTCAGCAGAGTGAGTCTTCTTTTCTGTATACAAGAACACAAAGTATGTGCTGAGAGGCCATTCCAGGGTAGCTAGTTGACAGCTGAGAGACAAAATTGTTTTCTTCTGTGTGCCAAAAAACAAATGGGGTGGTGGCAAAGAGAATGGTGGAGTATTTGATTCACCATTGAATTCTGTTTTGCCCTAGAAAGTACACTGTATGTACATAGTTTAAGGACTTGAGACAACATTTTTCCCAGTCAGTCAAGCCAGTCTGGAAATGTTTTCTTGGCGTGACAATGCAAGACCACACAGTGCAAGGCTTATAAAGGCACACGTTTGATCTCCTGAACATCAGAGGGATCATCTCATCCATGCTATGAACAGGGGACAACTGTTACCCACCAAACAACCCAGCATAAAGCATATGTCTGCTGTATGCGGTTGTACAATAAAAGTAGCAGGTCATCCTATGACAATCGATCCAGAAGCTGACCAGATCTATACGTCAATACCTACCAGGGTTATGTTGATGCTCAGGGAGGTTAAACACAATGCTAACCTTGTCAAGAATGGAATATTTTGAATTTTAATTGATTTTCATAATGTGTCATGGTTCATCCTGAAGTTTTGTTCATATTTCCTGTGTCTTTATTGATCCAAGGTTAGAATTCAATTTATTTTCAAATATACAAGACGTTTCTTTCTTTAATTCCATTAGACCTGAGTGTCCTGTTTTTATTGTGCATCAGTATATAAGTACTGTGTGACAGGCCACAGATGCACTTCAATTAACAGCCCTTGTCAGTAAGAGTCAGAAAAAACAGGAAACAAACACAGAATGATTAGGGAAATACTATGTTACCCCCATTGGATACATAGTTGAGCTACATAGTATTCACTATGTAGCTCAACTATGTACCCACACCTGCCAGGCCTTCACTTTTGAATGAAGCATGTGGTTTTGTTGGTCTATTTTTACCAGCTGTGAAAGAGCTCAGCTGGCGTGTTTTCCTGATTTCAGATGGATCCTGCATGCCACAGTGGGATGGTATCATCTGCTGGCCCAGGGGAGCCCCCAGCCAGCTGGTATCGGTTCCTTGCCCAGACTACATCTATGACTTCAATCACAAAGGTGTGTCACTATGCTAATTGAATGAACGCTGGCCACACAAAGGAGGCAGAAAGAGAAACAGACCTTGCTTACTAACAAACCACTTATTGGTGCAGTTCCTGCCATCTATGAAAGAGTGTTACCCTGTACAGAGTAATTTTATTTCCTCCTCTTCTGATTAAATCAAATTCACAAACTGCCAATCCAGCTCTTGAATGAATCTTCCCTTCCTTCCTTCCAAGTACGAGAGCACTAATTTGTGATGGAAGGGTGGGTTTGATTTCTATCTGGCCTCAGCCTGGACATCCTGGGCAAGTCAATGAAAGAATCTGTCATTTTTTACTTTCAGCACCAGCTATCACAAATGAAACAGAATACCTCTTCAGAGTTGACCCTTAACTTTAGTCATTTAAAATAGGATTTAATTTGGTTCAATTAGAAGTACTGTGTATTTAAAGGAAAGCCAAGGTCATGGATATGAGAAAATGATTCCATCCATTGGAAACACACAAATAACCAGAGAAAGGGAAACGGGATCCACCACAGTTCACATTTAGCCCTGGTGAGAAGAATCACAGAGTAGACTAAAAGGTAAAGAAGGTAAACGTTTGCGTCCTTCTTTCATCTTATGAACAACAGAATACTTAAGTGAGCAGATGACTCCAAAAGAAAATATTTTATTTATGTAAGTCTCTCTGGCTTCAGACAACCAGATGAAGACATCACAGAGCATAAATAAAATAAATGTAACCCTGGGAAGCAATTCGGGGAATATCAGGGCATGCACCTCTCTTCCAACTGCAAGGACCACAGTGCTCTGTGCAGCAGGTCAAAGATCCCCTGGCTGACTTTCCCCTGACACTGTTGATGCAGCATCTGGTCAGTTATAGTTGGTTGTTTCCCAAAATGTAACTAATCAGACCTCAGTAGAAGGAAAAAATAAACACTCGTTGTTGGAGTGTGTGATGCATTTTCATTGCCACCTGTGTCTGCTTACAGTACCTTCAACCGATCCCCCATTAAGAGCTGACCAGTCAGAAATAAGGGCGAGTCAATTGGTGACGGACTGAGATCACGATGCTTGCACTGGGGTATTTCTGAAACTCAGGACTGAGTAGACCAGGAGCCTAAATAAGCCAGCAGATCAAATGAAGACACCAGTTAGGACTGGAGATTCAGAGCTCAGCTGGAACACCAGCAGTCATGGGGATCCTTCAGAACCAGGGCTGGAGACTGCTGACCTGCAGGGTCCAGAGTACACTCTCAGCAGCAGTCAATTGAGCTGATGAGAACCCACTGTATTTATTAAGCGGTTTGAATAAACACAACCTACTTTTCCCAACAGGCCATGCCTACCGTCAATGTGACATGTTTGGAAACTGGGAGCAGGTCCCTAGTGTCAACCGGACCTGGGCAAATTACTCAGAGTGCTCAACCTACCTCCTTTCCAATCACAAGAACAAGGAAGAGGTGAGTGGGACGCTAGGATGGGACAGTAGAATGTTATTTTAATTACATTACATTGTCAGTTTTATAATATCCTAATAATATGCAATATTGGAGGGTGTAGTAGTGCAGGGGTTAGCATTGTTGCCTTGTAGCTATGGTTCTCAAACTGTAGTAAGCCAGATGACCCTGGAAATCTGTTGTGTGCAAAAGAAAAATTGGGACGGGTTTTCAGATTTTCAGTTTTAATAAAATTATAAAATTAGTTTACATGTGAAATATACAGCCTACATACTTAGCTACAACGATACAGTGAGCACTAATACTTGAGTATATAACTGTATACCATTGTATAGGAATGCGTGTTACGAACCTAAGTGACCAATTGTATTTAAAAAAAGTTACCTTCAGCAAACAGGGAGGTAGGAGAATGTGCATGATTTTGGAACACTGCCAATCTTGTGAGCACAGGAAAGCGTGATGGATATCAGAAAAATATTTAAGGACTGTTCTAGGTTAATTCTAGAAAAATACACAGAGCATCTCTGTGTTTCTCTCCCATGCGCATGAAATAAAAACTTCTTTTAACTTCTGAGACGGACTCCTGACTGTCTTTTAATGGAAAACGGGGAAAAATGCAAGCTTGCAGATTGCTAAAGCAGGTGAGCCCCACACTATTGGTGAAGAACTTCGTTTACCGTTGGCAAAAGAGCTGACATGTATTATGTGTGGAGAAAAAGCTGCTAAACAGCTCGACCTGCTGCCTCTTTCGAAAGACACAGTCACTCGTAGAATTATTGATATGGTAGATGATGTCAAAAGTACCTGATAGAGCACGTTAAGATGAGCAGGTGCTTTTCACTGAAGTTAGATGAGTCTGTAGATGTTGTTGATTTGGCCAATTTGCTCGTTTTCGTTAGATACGAGTTTGAGGGCATGTCCCATGAGGACTTTCTGTTCTGTTCTGGCCTTGGGTAGTTAGTAGTTTTATTATCCTTCTCAGCTAGATATTTTTCTGCCTTCCTTGAAGCCCTGAGAAGGCACGTTTCACACTGTTTCTGTCGTTACCTTTGTGCGACTGTCAAGGTACTGCAAGCAGCACTTGAACTCCACTAAAAATCCCTCTCTCATTTTAGACACAGTGATCAAGTCAGACGTTAATGACTTAAGGAATTAATGACAGAGAACAGAATAAGCATGTTTCTGTGTGTGATGTGAGGGCTTATAAATCTGTGTCCACATGTAACAGATAGGTCATGTATATATCAGCTTATTGGACCAGAATATACAGTATCCTGGTTTCCATGGTGTTAAGGGGACAGCTGGGGTAAAGTGCATCACTCAGGGGTAATACAGCAGTGTTTTGGGTGGACTTGAACCCACAACCCACATGTCCCCCCAAAGCATAACAGAGCATTTCAGCATTTCATTAAGACGTAAAGCATCTTGTCTGGCTCTCCATTTGACTGAATGGGGTGATTCAAACCAGTGGGAGTCTTCGCATTAAAATCATTAAGCAAACAAAAATCCTGATTGAAAATTAGAGTGGGAAGATAGCTCAATGTGTGGGCTGCAAACCGTGTGAGCTAGGTTCATTTCACGTTGAAAGAAAATAGCGAAGAATTTAGGCGGAGGCACCCTGAAGAGGGCCTTTCAGCCAAAACATGATGTGTTTCACACTTCTTTTTTTAATTTTCAGGATAAACGTAGCTTTGACACGAAGCAGATAACCCACGCCCCCCCACCGATAGGTACCCCTGCTATGAATTAGTTTAGGCTTATAAATTAAAGTTTGTTACACAAGTTTTTGTGTACACGTTTCTCACAAATAAGCAATGCGAAAGAGCAAGCCTTCAAAAATATTATGCATTCGTCTCTTACATCAGCACAATGCAGAAAAAGACGAATGACGACTGCAATCATAGGGGGAAACCAGTTGGGTCCTGAATGAAATTGCAATGGCTGCAGACAATTGTGTGTACATGACTGAAATGCCAAAGCACTTAGTTAATGCACTGTAAATTGCTTTGTAGTTTTTTTCTCCCCTCCACTCTCTTTATTACAAGGAAGAGGGGAGATATCTGAGGATTCAGATGTACTTCCATGTCAGCTCCAGAACAATCAAATCTCATTGACGTCAGTGCATGCCTTTATATTGATTTTGCAGATGTAATTGGTGCCCCTGTTACTTTCAGATGTCAGGTTTTAATTTAACTGCTTTCAATGAGCTTCTTTTAACAGTGCACTGTTTTTTTAACGGCTAACGGATTTCATTTAATTTTATTTTAATTTTGGTCCAAGGAAATGTAAGTTTTGCAAACCCCCAAGACTGGTAAATACTGGTCAGTATTTACTGCAAGTCCAAACCATCACTCTGAAGTGCAGGTAATGATTCTTAAAGTATTTGCATTAGGTACACCAGGAAGAAATAATACTAAATGAACTGGGAGATATGTGTTGATTTTTAGATTTCTTCGTTTGTACTAAGTGAAGACTGTTATTGTAATTAAAACCAGCTGTGAATACATTGAAGGTCAACAAATAAAAATGATAACATGAAGACTTCCTCAGTCTCACCAAGACAGTTCACATCTTCCTGCAAAAATCAAATTAATCAATACAGATCACACACCTGCTCTTTAATTTAAACAGTGTTAATAGCTGCATCCTGAACTTTAGCATAAATTATTTTCATTTCAAGTTATTGATTAGATAAAAAGCAGAAACATTATTTGCATCACCTTGTTGTTTCAGGTTTTGCCAAATTAATGTCTTATGTTATTACACAATGGCCAAAATGTAGTTCTACTAATAGGCTTGTAGATGCATATTGTTTACATATGTACTGTATGTATACCTTACTGATAAAGAATTAAAACTACCTCAGATTTCCATTCAAAAGATGAGAAAGTGTTATACTTCATTTAAATAAGACCAAAAATAAAAGCCTGTTATTTTTTATTTTTAAAGGCACAATTCCCTGTGGCATATCTTATGAATGATTAGCAAGAATTGATGTAGTTTCCTGCCAAGAGCAGCAGAAAATTTCACTTTACTAAACTCTCCTGAGTCTCCAGAGGGCATAACTTTTGTGTTATACTTGTAAAATAAATACTAGACAATGTGCCTTTAACAGCGTCTGCTGTAGATGTAGAATTCAAAACCTTAATACCTTAACCATCATAACCTAACACAGTGCTGTCTGCACTTACAGATGACATACAGTAGTCTGTGGTAGATCATGCTTTTATCTTCACTATAGCTGCTATAGTATAACTACCATTAATTTGTAGTTACCGTGATACAACTTATAAGAACAGAGGAAAGGTTACAAATATGAGGAGCCATTCAGCCTAGCTGTCCCATTCTGTACTCAATAGCTTATTAATCGAAGAATCTCATCCAGCTGTTTCTTGGAAGTGAGCTCCAACACAGTCACTGGGTTGCTTGTTCCAGACTCCCACAACCTTCTGTAGTCTCTTTGGAGAGAGAAGTGCCCCCTCTTCTAAGTTTTAAATGTATTTCCATGTTGTCTATGCTTGTGCCCTCCGGTTCGTCTTTCACTGCTCATTCGGAAGAAATCTGCTGTGTTGACTTTGTCAGTACCTTAGAGGATTGGGAATGCTCGTCTCAGTCAACCTCATAGTCTTCAAGATGAAAAAGGTTCTGTTTCTTCAGCCTGTCAGGGCAGTGATGTGACGTGCAAATTTATAACCCTGCCTTTGAACCGAAAAGTAGTCCATTTCTACAGTAATGTGGGAAATTGGCGGCAATAGTTTGAGGACCATATTCCTTTTCCCTGAGAGAGCTGTTTTGGGCTGAAACCAGTAGATATAGATCTATTCTGTATTGCCTTAAAAGGGAGAAAAGATGGGAAAGGAAGGCTCACTACACTGTGTGTGTCCTCTGCTTCTTCTCCTCACAGGAAGTGTTTGTCCGCCTGCACCTGATGTACACCATCGGCTATTCCATCTCCCTGGTTTCCCTCTTTGCTGCCGTCTGCATCCTCTGCTACTTCAAGTAAGAGAGACCAAGTGGAAAGTGCTTGCAGGCTCATGGTGCCTCACTGCTCAAAGAAAAAGAGGAGGTGGGACTGTGATGAGCTACTGTATGATAATAGAAGCACAAGGGAAAAGTCAGCTCTGATTTATACAAGTCATTGCTACCTCTGAAAAATCAGAGGCATTTATAATTCGATCTATATATGTCACACTGTGGGTGGCATGTGATGGTGCAGGGGTCAGCATTGCTGCCTTGCAGTGCTGGGGCCCTGGGTTCGATTCTGCAACTGCGGTGCTATCTGTGTGGAGTTTGTGTTTTCTCCTCGTGCTCGTGCAGGTTTCTTCCAGGTGCTCTGATTTCCTCCCATAGTCTAAAGAGGTTAATTGGTTTCTGGGAAAATAAGCTGTGGCGTGAGTGTGTGTATCTGTGTGTGCTATGCAGTGGACTGGTGTCCCTGTCCAGTGTGTATCCTGCCTTGTGCCTGGATGTCTGGATGGATGTTACACTGGATACAGAACAGAGATCTCCCATTTTACAGAAGCAGAGTCACCCCAAATATAGTCGAACTGTCCAGCTTTTCCTTCAGACTGCTGCTCAGTAGGAATGTGGTCATTTTCACCAGGCTCCTCCTCGGGCACAAGACCAAAAGGACAATGCATCTAATCTTTGATGCCCTTTTAAAGATGCACTAATAAACTAATAGATTGCTATTTGCAGCAGTTATGTGCATTACCACATGAGTGGTATCCATGAGTGGATTTGCCGAGAAGGGAGGGAGGGGTGAGGGTTTTTTTTTTAGGGGATGATGCGCTCTGCATGAAGACGTGAGTGGTGATTCAGAGATTCATGAGTGGCTCAAGCAGTTCCAACACCTATGGGGACCTCTTATAGAGACAGATGGCTGTGTTATCAGTCCTCCATCCAACACTGTTGTTGCTGAAGGCACAGCAGGCTCATAGCTGGACCAGACATGAATTGTTTGATAGGCTCATGTTGGAGACTGTGTCCATGTCTTCAGCTGTCCTCTGCAGCAGGAGCCAACCCTTGTGTTTGGCAGTGGGTGATTCCGAATAAGGGGGCAAAAAATGATTAAAGTGAATTGCGTGATTGCGCCGCGCCACTCCACTCCACGTCTGGAGCAGGGATTGGGACTGATCAGCAGCTTCTAGAACTGAGACGGACGCCGAGGAAGCGAAAATGAGGCTCCATAAAAAAAAACAGATGGAGGAGAAGGAGCTGGCGAGGAGCGTCTCTCATTTTCCCTCCTCCCCAGGCGGCTTCACTGCACCAGGAACTACATCCACATCCACCTCTTCACCTCCTTCATGTGCCGCGCGGTCAGCATCTTCGTGAAGGATGCTGTGCTGTACTCGGTGTCCGAGGACGTGGCCAAGATTGAGGATGACAACATGCGGGCCGAACTGGGGCCAGCCCCAGGACAGAGGCCACAGATGGTCAGTATCACCTTGCCTCTTCCCACACAAACACACACTCACATTTCTGACTTGTTACCGTGGGGGGTACTTGGTTGCAAAACCCCTAAGGATTTACAATAATAGTACCCATTAGTGGTAGTGTCAGTGTACAACCTATAGGATGAAAATAACACTAGTAGTGTAGTTTAAAGACAAAATGTCATAAGCTGGAGTCTAAATTTTCTTGGAGGATCAGAACTGCAACTCTGTGGTTAGGGTGGAACTATAGCAGCAGTCTGTGGGTCGTCAGGTGAGCCCTAGAGCAGACACAGGTATCTGTATGTAGGTGAGCAGCAAGTGGGTGTAGCAAACACAGTCCAGCATCATAGTCAGGAAAGGAGCAGAAATCAAAGCCGAAGAGACACATAAGAGGCACAGGGGAAGATCCAATTCCAGTGAGAAACACAAAGAAAACGAAGAAGGGACACAGCAGTGGCTCAGAGAGAAACTCTATAACGGAATCCAGAGTATTGCTAGGTCAGACCTCAAATAGTCTGTTTCATCAGGAGACAGAGGCATTACCCACAGGTGAAGCAAGCTTCCTGTCTAATTGTGTATCCATGGCAACCATGATCACTGAAAATGGGAGGTGTAGTACAATAGTCGATTTCACCTTCAGATGAATATAAACTCTGTACTGACATAAAGGTGAAGGACATCTTTCCTGTCTGTCTCCCAAGGTGGGCTGTAAGGTGGCAGTGACCCTCTTTCTCTATTTCCTGGCCACCAATCACTACTGGATACTGGTGGAGGGGCTCTATTTGCACAGTCTCATCTTTATGGCCTTTCTGTCTGACAAGAACTACCTGTGGGCCCTCACAATCATTGGCTGGGGTGAGTGGCACTCATCTACTCTACTCTTGGTGAAGAAGACACTGTAATGTGTAGTAGCTCCCACCAAAGCAGGCTGTAGCAGCATATTATCTGTCCCGAAAAAAAGGCTCTGGAAAACTGAACATCAGGAAAGTGACAGGAGTAAATGAGAGTGGGGGCATATATTACCATTACTCCTGCCATAGATTTAGATTTTTTTTCACATTTTGATAATGGACTTGTGATCTTGAACTGGCAAATGAGTTTTTCTTCGTATATTTTCTGATAATGCTGGTGTCTGGAGTATGTATTTTCTCCATGTATTTGCGATGGTTTCTACCAAGTGCTCCAGTTTCCTCAAACAGTCTGAAGACGTACTGGTCTGGGAAAACTGGTCCTGGTGGGAGTGTGTGTGTGTTCATGTCTGTCTGGATTACGATGGGCCCGTTGCTTGCCAGGATAGGCTCCAGCTGCCCCGAGACCCTAAATTGGAAGAAGCAGTTAGAAAATGGATGGCTGTTATATTAAAATGTAGGAACACTAACACCACTGCCCTGAGGCTTTGAATGAGGACTATCATCACTCCTCATAGGCTCAGAGTATGGATGTACACAGCCCTGTTTACACCACAAAATAAAATACTTATTCTAGAATAAATCATTGGCTTATTTGAACATTCTTCTGTGAAGTCACACTGGATTGTGCCCCTCAGGTGTCTCTCACTGCCCTCTTGTGTGATTGCAGGCGTTCCAGCGGTCTTTGTGTCCGCGTGGGTGAGTGCCCGTGCCTCCCTGGCCGACACACAGTGAGTCTTCCCGCACAGCGAACACTGCTGCAGTTTTCAAACGAACCAAGGTGTCACGGACGTCCAAAGGGACTAACCGTGGGGAGCAGGAGAGCGGAAAAAGACCCATATGCGTAGCGGCGAGACGGGAAAAAGGCCCGGGCTCATTAGTGCAAAGAGTTCAGGAATGCCGTATAGAAACCAATGCCCTCAGGGAGCGGACGTGGGGCGCCCTGGTGCTAGGCGGGTCTCAGGACATCCAAACAACAATGCTGAGCAAGGACAGAGCGCAAGACCCGGAAATATATAGCCCAAGGGAAAGAGAGGGACAGGAAGGACAGCAGACCGGAAACTAGGGACAGGACAGAGAAGGAGCGCCCTCTGGCTGCAGAGGGCGTGACACGAGGGACCCGTGTGCTCTGAAAAGAGAGAAACCCCAGTCTGTAATTCACACGTTTCCCTTCTCCAGCGTCGCACACTGTGCAGGCCATGTTGGGCCAAATGCTTTTCTGTGTGAGGCATCCTGCTTGCAAACCCAGATGCATCTTACTGTATCTCTTTTTGTGAGTTACTAAACGACAATGTTTTCTCCAGTACTGAAACTTTTAAACTCGCCATATGCTGTAGTATTCTCCCTAGCAACAGACTTTAGAGTAGATATTTTAGCATGGAAGAAGAATATATTTGAGTCGTTTCCAGTGTGCAGCAACTGGTGATTGGCTGCCCAAAGCAGGGACTGCGAAGACAAAAAAAAAATTAGACATAGTGGTGGCTCACTGTTGTGTCCACAGCCTACTGTTGCTCTTCAGCTTAACACAAGTCTAGAAAATAAACCATGTTTTTTCATCTCTCCCTTCGGTAATTATAAATATTTTATTTGATACAGTATGTACAGTATTGTCTTTAAGACTTTGCCAGCAGAGATGGAAATAGCATAGCAGTCCAAGCCTACACTGGATTTTCTAACCAGCTGCTGGTATTTAAAGATTTATAGAGTGATGTCCAATTGGCTCTAGAACAAAAATTGCTCATGGTTTCCACAAACAGAAAGTGCATGGTTGAGACTCTAGACAGAGACAATGTGGGTGTGGGGAAAATTATTCTGACCAGGAGGGGGCGCTCCTCTGGCTTGCTCCCAATAGGGTGGCCAGAGTTTACCTTGGCTTACTACACAGCAGCAACTTCCCATGTCTGATGTGGTGCTGTGAGTTTTCAACCCTACTCAAGAAGAGCTGAGCCACAGGCTTGGTCTCAAGCACTAGCTCTGCAGATTAGCTCTGGGCCCGAGACAAGAGACGCAGTGGACTGGTAGACAGCAGACATTCTGGAGGCTGTTCTCATTCCTGCATCTGTGTCACTGCACCATTGTAACAATAACAGCAGAACTAATTAAAGATTGGTGATCATACAAAGGAAATCAAATCAAAGAAGCAATCAGTCCTGGTCCTGGTGACCCACACACCCTGTTGGTTTCTGTTCCAGCCGTGCCCAGCTGAGACACAATCAAACCCTTCATTGACTTAATAATAATAAGATACATCTGAGCTGTTTGTTCCCAGCTCTTAAACATGTTGGATCTTTAATAATTGTATTTTGCAAATGAAATAAAATCCCAAATTTGTGACTAGAAATAAAATGCAAAAATCCCAATGGAACAACTTCCTAGCTCAAGTAAGGCTTCAGGCAGCTAATGAAGGTGGGCTGGAATGAAAACCAGCAGGAGTGTGGACCAGGACCAGGATTGGGAACCACTGGCATAAACAAATTAAAAGCAAACTTTTGCTTTGTGTTTTCAGATGTTGGGACATCAGTGCTGGGAATCTGAAGTGGATCTATCAAGTTCCTATCCTTGCTGCTATTGTTGTAAGAAGCCCTTATTGTTTATACTTATTCTCCAAGAGCCTTCACGGTCTAAGTGACGCAATGATTGTCTAAATCCTGAAGCACAAGATTATTTGAAGAAGGAAGTAAACCATTGCCTCTGCTTCTTACAATCTGGGCTTGCCTAGAGCAGCTCAATCAGCTCAGAGGCTCATGGCAGGCATGGCTGGGTCTCAGATGACCAGGATGTTGGACCTGGTCTCCCACTCAGGAGGGACCCTTGCCAATATGTTGCACATCTGTATCATCTGACACTAAAGATCCTTTAGGCTCATCAGAACTGGTGATTGGTTCTGACAAGTGTGTGTTTTGGAGAAAAGCACTCGCCCAGCCTGTTGCCTCTCTGTGTTAGTACAAAGACCAATAGTCCAATCTGACTGATTAATGACTGGCAACTGCAGATAGAATACAACATTTCAAAAAAGTTGATTGAAGTTCTAAAATACACAATCCTGATTGTACTGACATCACACGATCACGCACTTTGTACCCACAATTAAATTTATTTTTGTCCTACCGCTGACGGCTGTGATTGAAACTGTAACTCTTGTAACAGTAGCATTATGTAAGCGTTCATGACAGTGTGGCTCTTTACATGCAGTAAATGATGAATTGCAACAGATTGAGATGAGTGCTGATCTTGAGAACCATCTGTCATCACTTTAATTTTTCAGTTCGCCCTCACCATTGAGACTTTGAATACCCAGTTTTTGCAGGTTTTTTTTGGCACAGAAAAGTGGGAGTTTTCTGCCACGGATAACAGTATCTACATTCCACATTTATGTACTGAAAAAACACTGTGTGAATTGCAGTTACCTGTATAGATATATATACAGTATTTTCTTTAAGTATTGACCTTTTGTTCAAAGATAAAATTCTGCTCCACTGGTTACAAAAACAATCACAGGATATTTTCAGCAAGACTTAAATTTGTATTTAAATATATTTATGACTAGAAGTTTGTGTGTTCAAATCTCAGGTGATACCTTGTGAGCTTGATACTTCACTCAGATTACTCTAGTAGAAACCCATCTATTACAATGGGACAAATATAATTAGCTTAGGCAAGAAATAGATTAATAAAAATGCAACTCCTCTTTTACACAAGCTGTTATTGCGCAGACCCAGCGCGCGTTGTCGGACTTATTGAGCTCAATAAAACTGAATCTGCACAAGACTGTGTCCTGCTCCTCTGATGAAGAATTTCCCACAACACTAGCTCAATACAGAATTGCATCTACTTTTGTGGTATCAACTGCAAAATCAGTTTATAAGTAACAACACAGCAAATGCATAGCATAGCATACAGTAGCTAGCGGTTTTAGTCAAACTATGTCTTAGAGTTTGTGTTACTCTAGGTAATGCTTTTAATTTTCACCCTGGGACATTGTCTCTGCAAGGAAATACACACCTTTCAACCATTTGAGCTGACCCTGTGTATCTGCAGCTGCGATGTATAACATCTGCCATTGCAGTGCATCATGGCTGCTACACACCCTAAAAGGTGTATAAACTGCCCTACACAGGGCCAAGATTTTCAATTCAACTAAAATGTTGCCACAGTTTGAATTTGTTTTTAAGGCTGATAAACTTTGACCTGTGAGGAGAGTGGAAGTGACCTGTCTTTGAAAACATAAGGTCAGAAGACCTTTGTCCTTATGGGATCTGTTACATAATAGACATCATGTATTTTCATGGCTCACAAATTTGGAAAATCCTCAGTGCATTCCAGAGGCAACTTTTCTGACCTCAATTTGACCCCCAGCTGTTGCCAGAATGGAATCTGTTTGGTTCGGCTTATTGACGTTGGTGTAAACACCCCCCAACTCCCAGCTCCCTCGTTGTGCATAACCGCCACATTTATCACTCGCTACATTCATGGCCTACAACCGATCTTTATGAATATTGACTGCTCACTCACCCAGGCCCGATTAAAAGAATTGATTTGGCACTCTGAAATAATTGCTCGGGGTGACTGAAGTGACCTGTTTAAAAAAATACAATGAAAGAAACAAAAGCGACTGAGAGCAATTTGGACCACAAGCAAAAGCCAGCATTTGACAGAGGGAATGGGCATACCAGTGTCAAATTAGTGTGCTTTACAGACCAATAATGACACGTAGGTGGGTTTGATGTTGTTTCTGCAGAATATGATAAATTGGTTGAGAGCCTTCATGATAGTCCTCGGCTGTAGGAAAATGTCTCATGGTGGTATTGATCACACCTGATCTAAAGGATGGGAAAATAAGAACAGGTCAGGCTGGGACATTCAGAAAGGCACAGTGTGTTACAGACAGATAGGATAAAACAGAACTATTACTTTAATATACTGCTTTATTAGTCATGAAGCACAAAACAGGTGGAAATGGGATCAGATTATGTTGTTTTTCTGGATTTTATTGCTGTAATATGATTAGACCTACAGTATAGCTCTGGTATCTATCTGGCCTTGATTGATAGAGAGGAATTATGTACTGGAGATCTCCATTATAAAAGGGATTGAGAATACAGTGCCACCCTCAAGGCAAAAAACTGGAAGGGAATACAATATTAGAAGAATAATCAAATAAAAGTCTGCATCTGAATTAAAGAAAATGTGATAACCGTGATGAATACTATTTATAAAATCCCTTGACCCCTTGCTACCCAGTGAAATTGAATTTTGCATATTGTGTTATCAAGTTCTATCCACAATAACTGCTCTCTGCCACATTTATATTATGCTTTGAAGGATAAAAAATCCTTGAAAATGGATGTATTGTCTGGAAGAAATGGCATCCTCAAGGCAAATATTTTGTCATTTTAAAAAAATGATCAGTTGAATCAAAGGCTTAATGTATAGCCCTTTGTCATCAAATGTCATTACTTTTTACTTAATGTATTCATATGTCATTAAAATTATTTATAGAATCTGAAAACATGCAACAGTAGTTTCACTTCCACCCTTGTAAACTAGCTATTAATAACTAGAAAACTAGAGAGGACTGGAGTTATTACACATGACTCCCACACGCATCAGAGAG